TATTCCTTTCTCTCCCTCTCCAGTGTCTAGTTGTGCTGCCCAGTCAGGGAAGTTGCGGAAGTCCCAAAACTATTTTTTGTGGCCAATTTTTCTGATGAAATCCTTCCTTTGTGGCCCCTACTACTATCTCACATAAGCATTAAAAATTTCATCAGAAAGTTTAGAAAGATGAATGGGAAAGGAGTCATGCAGTTAAGATGAAGAAGAAATAAAATAACATACAAGAGCTTATCTAACTAGTCCCAATGATGATGTTGAATCTAATTCTGGCCAAGAATCTTGAACTCAAAGATCCAGCTCTGTAATTATGTAACAAGTAAGGCCAAGGTTTTTTGTTTGTTTGTTTGTTTTTACCTTTTTCTCTCTGTTTCCTCAAATGGAAAACAAAGAAGTTAGGCTAAATGCTCACTTAACACCCTTCCAGAGATAATAAACTACAAATTCACCAGTACTTTGTATATCTGAATTACTCCCAAAATCACCTTAACACCATTCAACCTCTGGATCATTCCAAAAATCACCTTAACGCTATTCAATTTCTGGAAAAGCAAAACATAAAGCCCTTTTCAAAGTATTCAATAGGGAACATCATAGTATGTCCTCTGATTCCAAACTAATTTTTATGTTGTTGCTCCAAAACTATCACAAGTAGTAACAAAGCTGTGAAGGGAAAAGTGTGTTCCTACTATTTTAAAGCTGGGTTAAGCACATAGGCTATATGAATCACATTGAAGGTCTTTCAAACAAAGTTTAATTGCTACTATATTTTAAGCAGATAATTGGTGGAAAGTCAAATCATAACTCGATTCTAATACAACGTTGCAACCTGCAGGTTAGCCTGAAGGCAGTAGCTTCAATGGTGTTTCATTACTAGTCCAATTTACTATTACATTTCCCCCAAGAATATCACTGATAACGCTTTTTTCTAGGTTTAAGTTAGTATTCTTACATAAATAGATGGAAATAAAAAATACAAGAACCAATACAAACAAAAGACGAAGTTGGGTGTGAACAACATTTACAATGAAATAATTTTAAAAAGAAATAAAACTGTGAAAAATTGTAAGTTCTTATTAATTATACTTATGCTATATATTCATAAATAGTGAGCTTTTGTTGTTGTTTTTAAGTGCCGTCGAGTCAGTTCTGACCCATAGCGACCCCTGTATAGGGTTTCAAGCCGACTTTGCAGTTCAGTGCATTAACCCACAGCAAGCACTACACCAGGACTTGAAACACTGGGCTAGACACTATTACAACACAAAGTTCATTCATCTTACAGTCTTTGAGCATCTATTGTACGGCAAGCACTTTGATAGGCATGGGAGTGTCAACTACAGTAAAAAAATAAAAAAATAAAAAATTAATTTTGAATATCCTTCAAATTTCCCCCAAAAAATACAATATATAGAAACCTGGTGGTGCCATAGTTAAGCACTTGACTGCTAACTAAAAGTTCTACTCTTCAAACCCAATGGGTGCTCTGTGGGGAAAAAAGACCTGTTGATATGTTCCACTCAAGATTACAACCTAGGAAACCATATGGGACAGTTCTACTCTGTCCTATGGGATTGTTGTGAGTAAGAATCCACTCAACAGCACACAACAACACAATGCCTAATGTCTAGCCATAAGAGTATGGATAAAGAAATTTTAAATATTATTTTTTGCTCACAATATTTTTTCTGTTTTATTTCATTCTTAGATCTCAAGAATATTAATTAATACTAATGAATATATTTTGTTTTGATTTTGAGGTTTAAATATGGCAACTAAATCCCATTTTATTAAAAGGAGGATTAGACTCCATAGTCAACAGCATGTATTTGTTTATGCTGTAGTCCCATCTTTGAATTTGTTCTTCCATAAATTCTTGTAGCATTACCCTAATATATTGCCTGGTTTGGCAATAGGTTTGCTATTGACTTATTTTTTCTGACCACGAGTAGAATGTTTATTTAATGTTACATTGAAATAGGTAATATATGAGTATGCCATAATTTCAAATACATGCATGTAATTCATATACATGAATTCCACCTCATATTCTAGTTCTGTGGATTCCCTTCCTAGAAGGAGCATTTGTTACCAGTTTTGCTTTTCTCCATGGGCATTTCTATATACAGTCTATCAAATGGTGTAGTGCATAAACCTGCCCCCCTGTTATACAAATGATCATATGGATATAGAACAACACCTTGTTTTTTTCACTTAATATGATTTGGGAAGTAATTTTATCTCCATATCTAAAGTTGATCTATTCATTTTAATAGCTATATGATAATCCACTGTATGGATGCATCATCATTTATTTTTCCAGATGACTAATGATATACATTTAGGTAAAAAAAAAAAAAAAAAGTCTAAAATTAATAGAAGCCAATGGTCATGACTAGAGCCCTGGTGTGGCACTGTAGAATAAATGCTCCACCACAAGGTCTATTTGAACTGCAAGGTCAACAGTTTGAACTCACCAGCCGCTCTTCACATTCCTTATACTGGGTCATTATGGGTTGGAACCTACTCGACAGCACTAAGCAATAGCAATGATCATGACTATGAGTTTCTTTGGGAGCACAACCTTACATTAGTATCTCCCACATTGTGACCAAGGTTATATGAAGCTAGAGGATAGTCCCAAATGAAATTTGTGATTTATTTATTTGAAGTAAACCAAAACACATTTTTATCCTTGGCCTTCTGTAAACATACTTTTTACTTTCTCACGTCCTCATATTTCCTCACACTTTTCGCAAGAAATTCATCCCTTTTTAATTTTCACCAATTGTCAGGATTCTTCCTGCTAAAATTCAACTACCAAGTCCCACTTCCTTCATTCAGTTATCCACCATGACCCCTGTAACATATACTGGTAAGTGATTTCTTTCTTGCTTGATTTCCACTAGAGATTTATTTGTAACTTTATGTCATTTTGAATTACAGTTATATAAAGAATGATAATACGTGTCTCATCTCCTTTACAAATTGCAAGTTTCTTGAGAGTAGCTAATACATGCAACACAAGACTACCAGAGGGCCTCGCATAAATTTGTGACAAATAAATATGTGTTGGATGAGTATATACTTTGGATGCAATTCCATTGAATTCTGTTGAAATATATTAGTACTGTAGTTGTTGTTATTAAGTGTCTTTGAGTCAGTTCCAACTTATAGTGAACCTGCATAAGATTTTCAAGTAGTGACTGGTAGGTTTGAACCACCGACCCTTCAGTCAGCAGTCCAGTGTTTATCCTACGGCACCACAGCAGGACTCCCAACAGGGTAATGTTATTTAACTACTATACAACCTCAAATTTTTTTCCTCACTAGGCAATAAATCAATATCTATGAGCACTACTCCTGGCTCTGAAATTACAACAAGGAAGTTTTGGATAAGTTATTTAAACTCTCTAAAGCTTTACATTTTAAAATGAGAAGAAAATACCAGCACTGTCTACATCACCACCTTATTAAAATCAGACAAAGTAAACAATCAAATTTTATAGGAATGGTTTCAGAGGTAGGACAGTCTCCATCCAATGTAGAAGTTTGTATAGCTCTGAACAGTATTAGTAGCAATATCTTTACAGTGACATTCATAATATCAAGTTACTTGATACAGAAAATGCTGCTATATCTGATTGGTGATTGACTCCCAATTTTAGTAGGTCCTTCATTAATTCCCCAATAACTCAAATACACATGTTATATAGTATTGGATGTTTTGGACCACATTGAGACTATTACGTAAGACTGCAAGCATTTCAGTGAATCCTCACAGTAACTTAATTAGCTATAAAATAGTGTTTTGTACCTTCTTTAGTATTCTGCAAATGTACAGTGCTTAATAAATGTAGCATATTATCCTAGAAAAAGTATTATTTTTAAAAAGGTAACAAGAGTGACTCACCATTTGAATCTCCTGACCTTTCTAGGTCAGCCAGCCTTTTCTGTCAAATGGAGTCAATAAAGCCTGTCCCAAATAACTTTGTTTGGAAATTAATGCATACAAAAGGATTCTAAAGGCATTGTAAGGAATTGTTATTAAGTGCCCTGGAGTCAGTTCTGACTTTTAGCAACCCTGTATAAAGTTTCCAAGGAGCTTCTGGTGGGTTTGAACTGCTGATCTTGTGGTTAGTGGTCTAGTGCTAATCCTACAGAACCACACCAGGACTCCTTAAAAATACTGAAAGTGTGAGATGTTCAGTGAAGTTTCGTTGTTAAAACTTCTAGCAACAAACAACAAAAGAAAACATTATAGCAGAAATAGAAATAATCTAATGCATATTGCCCCCTACCCCTGCCCCCAGGCCAAATTTCCCATTTTACGAAATGATGGTAACATGCATTTAAATCTGTCTTTAGTTTAAATCTTCCTAGACATCTGCCATCCACACCCTTCTTAGTAGTACTGGGACAGCTCAAAAGATCCAACAAAATAAGGAAGAATTTAGGCTTTGAAAAGATAACGTTGTAACTGGGGAGCTGTTGAGTACATTCTAAGACATACTCTCTGAATGTAAAGGAAACATACCTTCTGTGTGCACAGCTGACACATATGTCCAGTTGTACCTCTTCACTATGTCCACCATAGCCCGTGCCTGCTGAGCATCTGAAGGCACAACCCTCATGAAGTACTTGAACAGAGTCTTGTCACTCAGATCCATGCTTGTTGCTGAGTAAGCAATTTGAGGTATGTTGAAAAGCTGGAGCAAGTTCTGAACCTGAATGGCTACAGAACTGGAACCAGGTCCAATGACCCCTACTATGGGCTTTTTGGAGCGGAAAGAAGAAGAGCCATCCACACAGCGCACCAAGCCCTCTTCCTCTTCTGCAGAAATGAGAGAGTCCCTTATGAATTCAATGCTCTGCTCTAGGGCTACAGCTGAATGCCAGCAGGAATCCCTTATCTCACATCCCAGTGTGATGTTAGGCAAGAGAGTGGGATCTGAGTTGATCCTCTCCAGAGTATGCAGCATAGCCTCCACTCTCTGAATGCCATACTGTTCACGGACTGCCCCGCACTTCCTCTCATGAACTTTGTCCACCGTGGGCTGATGATGGACAGAAAAGAGAGCTCCGATAATGATGTCACCCGGCATATGAGCCACGACCCTTCTCTCGTTGGACTGTGCACTCCCACGGACATCTTCTTTCAAAAGTAGGACTGCCAGTATCAACAGAAGGACCATTTTAGGAAAAGATATCAAGCACATAAAGACAGCATGGTGAGGAAAAGTAGGAGGTTTTTGATAGATAGAATCAATCAATGTTCTATGTTGAACAGTAAAGTAGGAGATTAACCAGCAATGTAGATGTGCTCTCTAAAGGACCAGCATGTCCCTTGGTACCATTTAGTTAGATATATCCATGTGATCGTGGTCTTCAAAACCTGAATAAAAACAAAAACAAAAACAGCATGTATTTTAATAACAAAAGTGAAATTAGTTTGAAGAAGCTCCAATTATCTATGCTAGCAGGAAAGGACTCTGACAATGTTGTTGTTGTTAAGTGACTTTGAGTTAGTTTCCACTCAGAGTTCCTATTTAGGGTTTCCAAGGAGCAGCTGTTGGATCTGAACTGCGAATCTCGTGGTTAGCAATCCAGTGCTTATTCTATAGCACTATACGAGGATTATGTAGATAACAGAAAAGAAAACAAGTATCCTAATATTTTTCAAACTCAAATTTGTCTTCTTCTTTGTGATTTGATGAAGCTCCTGATGTAGCTTCTAGACTTTCCCTTGCTTAGATTAAGATTTTTTATTGGTTCATTTGGAATGTACAAAATCTAGCCTTCTGCGTCTAGTAGAACTAGACTATTAGGCAGAGGTAATTGAGAGTATTCTTGAAGCGAAACTATGTCATGAGCAGAAATCTTTAGGAAGCATGTTGTTAAGTGCTACTGAGTCAGTCCTAACACATAGCGACTCTGTGTAGGGGTGAGCTTGAATCTCCGACTTTGCGTTTCAAACTGACCTTGCTGTCCAGTGCATTAACCTGCAGTGACACACCAAAATATTCAATCTTGCTAGTCTACATGTGATGGGGGTGTCAGAAATTGTTGTTTTGTTTTGATTTTCATTATCTTTTTTGTTTGTTTCTGAGTTTTCAGCTTTGAACATGTACTACTTATGCCATTACAACATTAAAGTAACCTTTTAAAACAACTTAAATACCACTGCCCCAGATGCAGTACAAAGCCCTGTGAACAATCTCATCAGAAATTAGTAAGTAATGTGTCTTGTTTCCATATAAGATAGAAGAAAGTGAAATGAGGTCAGGTGGGTATTTTTACATTAAGTGAGCAGGACTCCTGGTGTGGCACTTTAGGCTTAGCACTTGATTTTAAACAACAAGGTTGGTAGCTCAAACCCACCAGTTGCTCCTCAGAAACCCTATACAGGGCCACTATGAGTCAGAACTGACTCAAGGGCACTTAAAAGCAACAACAGGATAGGAGAAGGTTTTGGATATTACTAAGAAAACTTACTCCCAAATATATAGCAATGCATAATAAAATGAGTACCAAATTGTGGGCAAAATCATGCTCAGGTTCAAGTTCTATTCTGCTATTTTAAAAGTATTTATCAATTATTTAACCTCTCAATACCTGAATTTCCTCATCTGAAAAATGGGGATAATGTGTGCTAGCCAGTTCCTGGCAATCAACCTAAAATCCAACTATGTTAATGGTTTGTAATTTGAATAGGGCTATATATATATTCAAGGCAAGATCTTTTTGTTATTATATTTCCAAGGGCATTCTGTGGCTAGGTGGTGAGAACAGAAAATTCTCTGGCAGCCCACTCAGTCCTCCAGAGAGTCTTCAAAGTAATTACAGAGTCTTGTAATAAAATTCACAGTAATCAGTCCTCTAGCCCTGGTCCAGGAAAAATTTCCACATTGAGAATGTTTAAAAGGCTGAAAGAACGTATGTTTGGGACTGTCTTTCCAAGTAGAAGTGGTATAGTGATGGATACAGTCATCTATTTTAGTTTAAACTTCAGATAAGATGGAAATTCTGAGTTTGGCTACAGAAAAATCTACTACAAATTGTTAAAGGAATCTAACAAATTAATGATTTACATTATTTAAAGGGATTTGTAAAAGTATGTTAATCATCAATGCTAGCCATAGATCTCAAACAGCATAGTCTTTACAAATTGGGCTGCTAATCTCAAGATCAGCAGTTTGAAGGCACCAGCTGTTCAGTGGGAGAAAGATGAGGTGTTCTGCTCCCATAAAGACTTACAGGCTCGGAAGCCGTATGCAGGGTCACTATGAGTCAAAACTGACTGCATGGCGCATAACCACCACCACCAATCCTTTAAAGCATTTGTTTTTTAGAAGAGTTTATGTAATTTTGATGCTTCTTCAAGAATCCTAGTGGTTTCCAAACCTCATCAGATCTGCAAAGATTCCAGGCCAGCCATAAAATAAATGTGGACCAAATCCCATTTCGTTCACTCTCTCCCCTCAGTTTAAAATTTCCCATAGCAACAGAGATAGGCTTTCTCTGTACAGTTCTACTAATAAATACATAAATAAATAATACTCATTCAAAAAACTACATGTTCCAGACAATCTAGGTGTTTGGCAACATTTAAAAAGAAAACAAAACCTCAAACAGTTTGGATATAAAATCAGCATTGTAGACAAGAGGAAAGAGAAAATGGGCTATTATTTATTTTCTCATTGGGAAATTTTAAAAAATATAATATATTTCCAAGTATATTCTACTTCCAACTATATTTTATTCATATATATATATATATATATATTTCCAAGTATCATGTACTTCACTTTCTTTAGGTCAAAGGCCCACGGAATAATGGCTATTTTCATGGTCATATGAATTCTGCTGCAAAAAATAAAATTATATATATATATATATAGTGATTCATCCTTAAATTCCAAATATAGTGAGAAAACTCAATAACAAAACAAGTTACTTTGCGTCATGTGAATGTGAATATTACAGTGGTATGAGAGGCTAGAATTGACCCATCAAATTTATGAAGCCAAAGCATCAGTTTAGGGAAGTCCTATATACTGAGATGTAGTATATATATTATGGACTCTTGGTATGGTGCTGCAGGAAGCACTAGACTGCAAATCACAAGGTCAACAGTTCAAACTCACCAGCTGCTCCTTGGAAACCCTATGCAGGATCGTTATGCATTGGAACCAACTTGAAGGTACTTAACAACAACATATCTACTATAGGATTAAATGACTGTATTTCTATATAGACTAAAGTAGTTCACTAATTTATTTAGCAAATGTATTAACTATTGAGTGGGAGAGACTAATGCAACAAAAATGTAGTGATATGCATTGATCCTTTGATCATTATTATTCATTCAGAAACCATCACAAGCCATATTTATTCATTTAACACATTTTTGGCATGCTTATGTTATGGCACTCTGCTGTGCATGGCATATTTAAGAGTGAGCAAGTTTTGAATACTCCTTATACTCAAGGGGAGTCCTAGGGTGGCACTGAAAGATAATGACTGCAAGGTCATTTTCAACCACAGATTGTTGTTGTTAAATGTCATTGAGTCACAGTTCCGACCCATAGAGACCCTGTACAGGGTGTCCGAGGTTGTAAATCTTTACTGGAGCAGAAAGATTTATCTTTATCCTGCAGAAACAGCTGGTAGTTTCAAGCTGCTGACTGTGAGGTTATCAGCCCAACTCATAACCACTACGCTACCAGAGCTCCTTAGAGGTGATTAGGTGGTTCAAACTCAGCAGTTGCTCCTCATAAACTTTATACAGGGTTTGCTATGAGTCAAAACCAATTCAAAGGCACTTAGCAACAGCAACAATATACTAATAAGGCTTATAGATCAAAAGGAGGAAGTTAGAAAATAATCAAGTACATAATAATGACACGGTCTGAACTCCAATTAAGAAAAGAAAATTTAAAAAGAATAGCAAAATGATACCCGCTTAGATAGAATGACTAAGAAAGGTTAGTATAAAAGTAATTTTTACCTCATCTAATGAATGCAAAGAACCACTAGAAGAAGAATTGAGTGAATAAAAAGAAGCTAGAAGTTGTGTCAAAAGTGAGGCCAGACACTTCCTCAGAAAGTTAGAAATAGAAATACCTTATGATCCAGCAATCCCTCTACTTGGTATTTATTCACAAGAAATATGAACCATATCATGAGTATATATATATGCACACCAATGTTCATAGCAGCAGTATTTTCAATAGCAAAAGATGGAGACAGCCTAAGTGCCCATCAATGGAAGAATGGATAACTTTGGTACATATACACAATGGAATATTATGCTACCTTGAAGAATAACAAGGAAGCTGCAAACCAGCGTATAACATGGATGAACCTTGAGGACATTATGCTGAGTGAAATGAGTCTGTCACAAAAGGAGAAATACTGCATAGGGCCATTATTGTAAAAGCTTAAGAAAAAATACCCACACTAAAAGAGAAAAAAAAGAAAAAGTCTTTGTTGGTTACCAGGGTATAGGGGGTGGGGCGAGGGAAGGCAGGGGAAGATACAGCACAGAACAGTTTGGGTGTTGGGGGCAATACACAAGAAGGGGGAGGGGACTGGAAGAACAAGGCAGATGGGAGAACATTTAGGCAGGTTTGCATGGACTAAGCGGAACAGAGGTAAATA